AATGATATAGATATTAAGATTGATAATAAGGATCGAGATTTAATTGTATTATGTTTGCTACCAGCTTTTTATCCTTTAGTGATACTCAGTTATAGGAAAATATTTCACTAGATAATATTAGTAATGCACTAAAATCAAAATAAGAAAATAGAACAAAATATGAGAGTTTGGTGAATAGAGGAAGAGCACAAATAAGGAATAATTATTCTTATAAGAAAATTTCAAAAAGTAGATCAAAATCTAGATTTAAAAAAGCAAACTATTTTGAGTGCATGAAGTATTATTATTTTGAAAGAGAAAAATTGAAAGAAGTAGGAGAATTTTACAAATATTATTCACATAAGTGATTGTAATGATAGTGATAGTATTATTGTGGAAGTTTTATCTGAAAGTTAGGATCATGGAATTTATTTATGGATTCTTGATTTTGGTGTTACATTTCACATATCTTCATATAAGTATTGGTTTACTACTTATAAATAAATAATGATAGTTTATTATCTACATATGAGATTGGTAACATCACATTCAGAATATTTGATAGAGTTGTCAGAACTATTGAATGTTAACATGTTAGACAGATGAAGAGGAACCTAATTTCTCTTTCTACATTTAATTCTCAAAGTTATAAATACTATGCAGAAAATGGTATTCTCGAAGTGTGCAAAGGCTCTATGGTATTCACAAAATGTAATTTAGAGTCTAGACTATATATTCTTTAGGGCAGTACAATTTCAAGGGAAGTTGTTAAAGCAACAGGGAGCAATTACAGAATTAGACTAAGTTGTAGCATTTGTGTCTGAGTCATATGAGTAATAAGGGGTTATCTGTTTTGAGTAAACATAATTTGTTGAATGAATATAAAGAAAAAGCCATAGATTCTTGTGAACACTGTGTGTTTGACAAACATATTAGGGTGAAGTTCAACAAAAAATAATGCATAAGATAGAGATAATTTGTATTATATTCACTCTAATTTATAGGGTCTAAACAGAATTTTCTCAAAGAATGTTGTTAGATACTTCATGACTTTGATTAATGATTTTTCTCGAATAATTCTTGTGTATATTTTAAAATTAAAAGATGAGGCATTTTCAACCTTTATCAATTGGAAGATTATGATTAAGCATGAAATAAAAAAGAATATCAAATGTGTTAAAACTAACAATGGGTTAGAATTTTTTAATCATGGTTTTAATGATTTTTGCAGTAAAAAAGACATAATGAGACATCATACTTATGTAGGAATACTACAATAAATAGTCTTGCAGAACATATGAATAAGACACTTTGTGATAGGCACAAAGCATGTTTTCACATTCAGGTTTGGGATAGAAGTTTTCGGTTGAGATTGTTACCACTACTTGTTTCTTGGTTAACAAATCTTCATCTGCAACTATTAAGAATACTCTTTTTGAGGTATGATCTAGTTCATCTGCTGATTATTTTCAGTTAAGAGTATTTGATTGTTCTGCTTATGTTTATGTGATGAATAGTAAGTTTAAGCCAAGAGCAAAAAAATGCATATATCTAGGGTATGCAGCTAAAGTGAAACATTACAAGTCGTGTTTTTGTGATCCAAAGTTTCAATTATTAATTATCAATAGAGATGTGACATTTAATGAGTTTACATCATTAGACAATAAAAAAGAGAGAACAGTAGCACAATTAGGTCATGTTGTCAAAGAACGAATGGAGTTAGAGGTTGATAATCTCATAGTCAAGTAAAGTAATCCAGAGAATAAGGTGTAAGATCTTAATAAAAAAGATGATGGTGGTTCACATGGTCCACAATAACCATATAGCATTGCAATAGGCAAGAAAAGAGAACATATTAGACCACCACAAAAGTATGAAAATCAAATTGCATATACCTTGTTAGTTGTTAAAAAAATAATTTACAAGAACCTGGTTGTTGCAAGGAAATTATTTCTAGTTCAAGTGTAGATTAGTGTGTTAGTGCTATAGGTGAAGAAATTGAGTCACTTCATAAAAATTAGATTTGGGAGCTTATTCCCTTACTAGAACGACAAAAGTTGGTGAGCAACAAATGGATTTTCAAGAAGGAAGTCATTCTAAGGGTGGAAACACGTTGATATAAGGCTCAGCTAGTGATTAAAGACTTTACTTAAAGAGAGGGGATCAACTTTAATGAAGTGTTCTCTCTAGTTATAAAGCACAGTTTTATTAGGGTCTTACATATTATGGTAGCTCTTTATGACTTAAAGCTTGAACAATTAGACATGAAGACTTTTTTTATATAGTGAGTTGGAGGAGCAGATTTATATGTATCAGCCCAACAGATTTGTCATTCTATGTATGGAAAATTATGTTTGTTGAGTTAAGAAAGCTTTGCCTGATTTGAAATGGTTACCTAGACATTGGTGTAAGAGGTTTAATACATTCATGATATCGAATTATTTTGTTCATAGTGCTTATGATAGTTGTGTGATCATAACAGGTTATCATATGATTCTTTTATTTATTTTATGCTGTGTATCGATGACATACTTATTATTACTAAAGGCATATCATAAATTGATATTTTGAAAAAGTAGTTGGGTTATGAGTTTGAGATGAAAGATTTGAATGTTCTAAAAAAAATTAGAAATTGAGATTACAAGGGATAGGACTGTTAGAAAGTTTCTTGTCTTAGTAATCCAATGTTGAGAAGGTACTGCAGCAGTTTAACATGAGCAATGTTAAGCTTGTGACTATTTCATGTGCTACCCATTTCAAGTTATCTATAGTCATGCCACCGAAGACTGTGAAGGACATGGCGTACATGTCTAAGTGTTTTATATTCGAGTGTTATAGGTACATCATGTATGCCATGGTATGCACCCGTCTTAATATTTTAAACACAATTAATATGGTGAGTAGATATATGGTGTATCCTGAGAAACAATATTGGTAAGTAGTGAAATGGATTCTGAGATACTTAAAGGGTACCGCAGATTTGGGTCTGACATTCAACAAAGCCAAGATGGGTGACTTGGTTATAGATTACGTAAATTCAAACTATGCAAAGGATTTGCCTAGAAGGAGATCTTTAACAAGTTAATTGTTTACTCCTTTTGGTAGTGTTATCAGCTAGAATGCGACTTTGCAAGCTATAATTGCCTTGTCTGCCCTAGAGTTTGAGTACATGCGTTTGACAAAAGCAGTAAGAAAGACTATTTGGTTATAGGGTTTGGTGAGTGACTTTTGGTTAACGTAAAAGAAACCTTTAGTATTTTATGACAAGCAAAGTATCATACATCTCAAGAACCAGATGTACCATAAGCAGATCAAGTATATTAATGTTAAATATCACTTCATTTGGGACATTGTATAAAGAGGTACTATAATTGTGCAAAAGTTGTTTATACATGAGAATTTTGTAGATAAGATGAACAAAACAATCTTGGTTAACAAGTTTACGTACTACTTAGGCTTGTTGGAGTATATAATATTTAATAGTGCCTCTATAAGGGCATTTCGTTAAGAAAGTGTGATGAAATGTCTACTTTTCTTTATTGATGTTAATAAAGGGAATTTAAGCTAATGTGAAGATTTGTTAATATGGGTTGATTCTGGATATGTCCTGGGAATATTTTAGGAAGATTTCTAATATTTTATGTATATAAAGATTTACAACTTCATTAGTTATATGTACTCTTATTGTTCATTATGGTAGAAAAATTTATTCTCGATCTTACCCGTGAACAAAGGTATCTTTGCTGAATTACATAAATTTTTTATATTTTCTTCTTTTACTTATTATTTTGTGTAATTGTATGCGTGATAGGATTAATTTTAACTACATAATAGTTAAATAAAAATATGTCAGCTAATCAACTATAACTGGAATAAATTATATGGGATTCGAGCTTATGCAAATATATTGAGTAATCAATTGTGATTGGGACTCACTATGTAGGATTTGAGATGATGCAAATTGGTAACTAATCAATTGTGATTGAGGCACAAGCTTTATTCAGAATAAATAAACAAGGGGATTGTTATTCTTATGGACAAGTTAGTTAAGGTTAATAGAGAAACTATATAGACATAATGGGTATAACTGTGCATGCGCTTACATATGAGAATGGAGACAATACATCCTACCTTTCCCTATGTAATTATATATATATTAGTTGGCTTATGTATTAGGCCTAGTAATTAGCACATAATAATCAACATGATGAGTCAACTTATAACCATGAGGAAAATAATGGATCTGATTTTATAACACTTCTTATGTCACATAAAATGATCTCGCTCTGTTTTTTATTATTAAGCTTTAGATGTTATGTTACTATATATCTTACTTATTTTGTTATCATATTCTGAATTTAATATGATTTTATCTGTTTAGTAAATTTTTTAATGTACTAAATTTTAATGTAAAATAACAAAAAGTAAACTATTAGTTTACTATAACCGTTATTCTCTTAGTATATATGATTATTCAGGTTTATAATGATTTGATGATAACATTATTGATGAAATCATACGCACTATCACGGAACTCTAAAAAATTAAGTAGAGTAAATGTCTAAATCGCAATCGCAATCCAATTGACTTAACAGTGTTGGCTTCATATGTTGAGTTTTATAATCTGATAACCCACCAATCAACGAGTATGAAAGTCTCTAAGCAACCTACTCTATGATAATTGTCTGACGAATATTCCATTAGTTTTCTGCTAAATTATTTCAACAAGTCATTAGTTTAATGCCCAAGTTAATTATTAAAACGAAAAAGAAATCATGGGTCCATTATCCTTGTTATATATATATATATATGTATATATATATTGGTCATATATGTCAAAATTATAACACTTAAGACATATAAAGTATTGGATAAATATAACGTGGATTGAAGTGGGGCAATTGGCGTGGCTGGGAA